TCTGCACCCTCTGCCCTTGTTCTAGGGACCCCGTGACTCGCGTCTCCCTGAGCCCCGATCGCACGTGGCTGTCCTGCTAGCAGCTCTTGTCCCCCGGGTGGCCCTGGCTCCCGGCAGGTCCCTCTCCCGCCTGGGTCTTCACGTGGGAGACTTTCCACATGCCTGGCCCTGCATGCGTGCTGCTCCGTCACAGTCAAGACGCACCTGTGCCTGGGTTCCCGAGGCCGCTGTGACCAAGCTCCAGAAATGGGACTTGTACCAGCAGCTGAGCCAGCTGACTGCCGCCCTGAGGGCAGACTTCCAGACCAGGGCTGCTCCTCCAGGGCCCAGGGAGGCGCCCTCCTGCCTTCCAGCTCCTGGGGCTCCTCCTCTGTGTCTTGGGAGGACACTGCCCTTGCATGAGGCCCACCCTGACCCAGGAGGACTCCTTCACGTAAAGACCCTGTGTGCAGACAAGGTCAGGTAGAGGGGTGCCAGGCTTCAGGATGGCGCGTATCTTGGGGGGGCCACCATGCACCCCTCTACTCAGCCCATGACCTCTACTGGCGTGTGTGCTGTGGGTCCCCTGCCCCTAGGGGACTGGCAGAGGAGCCTGGGGCGGGTGCGTGGGTCCCCACTCCTCAGGATGCAGCAGGAGGGTGGACGGACAGCGAGAGCTAGGCGGCAGGACAGGCCCCTGCGCAGCACTGTGACGTGGTCTCCAGGTGGCTGGGCGGCTTTGGCCCTCCAGCCAGTGTCCCTCCACAGGGCTCCCTTCCACGCGCCTCTGGCCATGAGCTCTTCAGACCTGATTCTCTGCACCCAGGGCGTCCGCGGTGGGCCCGGCTCTGCGGGTGGCTCTCCTCCTAGCCCAGTCCCTCCCTCCCTCGCTCTCGGGCCAGGGCAGGTGGAGCCAGCTGGCCAGTTTCCATGGACACGTCACTCACGGGGCTGGGGAGCACCCCTGAAGCCTGTGGCGCTGTGGGTCTCGCTGCACTTTCCCTTGAGAGTGTTGTCCCCACCCCGGGCCTCGAGGAGGACCCAGCCTGTGCCAATGGTGGTTGAGGTTCCTCCCGTTGCTGTGCCTTGCCCTGGAGAGCAGCCTGGGAAGCTGACCCCRGCCATGGACACTGCCCTTCCCCGCAGCCAGCCCCGGGAGCTGTAGGGGTTCCTTTACTTGTCAGCTAAGCAGCTTCTCCCCGGGACAGGGCCATGTACCCCCTACAGCCCTGTCCTTCCTAGTGCACCGGCAGTGCTGGTGGCCAGCATGTCCTGGACGTGAGTTTCTGGAGGGACAGCACCACATTCCTTGTTACCGTGCGCTTATGCAGGGCTGTGCAGCCGGCGGGCGTGGACTGGGCTTCCCTGCGTGCGTGGTGAGGCTCGCTGTGTCCCTGGGTCGCACTGCCYTGCCCTCACGTCACCCACAGCCGCTGAGAGGTCACTGGCACAAGTGGAGGCCCARGGCCAGAGTCCCGAGCCTGAGGCCTGCCTTCAGCCGGTTGTCATGGGCCCCCTTCCCTCTGCTCCCAAAGGCTTTGCAGGACCTTGGGCCGTGAGCTGGCTTGGGGCCAGTCGTGGACGGCAGGTAGGGGACAGTGCTGTGGAGCACTGCTCAGGGCCCTCCCCAGACTGCAGAAAACCACCCGAAGCCCCTCTGGGTTCCTGGGCGGGTGTGCCCTGCAGTTGGAGACGTGCTGTTGTGCGCTCTGACTGCGCTGCTGCTGCTAYGTTAGTACCTTGAAAATCATCACAGGAAGGACAGTGTTACCAGGGTCGGCTTCAGCAAAACACAACGGCGACATTGAAATTTATGGCACCAAAGAACTTGGACCATTTTTTTCCTTTTTTATAGCATGCTYCAGAGAGGAGCATGCACTCCCCTGACTTTTGGAACTCGGTCAAGGTGCCATGTGTGTGTCTTCTTTTTAGTTGGGGTGGCTGGGGGACTGGGCTGTGATCCTGTGTATCCAGGAGGAGGTGCATTATGGCCCTGCTCTTGTAATTGCCTTTTGCCCGCCGTCCAGTGGTCCCAAGGTCTCTGGGATGCGACTCCTGCGTTCAGTCCGGTGTGATGCGGGTCTGCAGTGCTGTGGGCCACCTCGGGGTGTGGCTACCTCGGGGACAGCTCTGCAGCAGCTCCCGGGTGGCGCCTTTGCTGGGGTCCTCTTTGCACGCGCAGGTGTGTGTGTGGACAGGGGCTGGGGCAGCCGTGGCTCTCTTGCTGGCGTGCGTGCGTGTGGCTTTGGCGTCCGGGAAGTGCGGTGGCGTGAGGAGCTGGGGAGCGCCCCTCCACTTGCCGGGAACGGGTTGCAAGTTTCCTGCCCGCGGCCCGTGGCCCGTGGCCTGTTGAGGGACATGCCGCTGGAACCTGGAGAGGGAAGGCCTTGCCTGCACCTGGTTTCCTTCCTGGCAGGAGGCTGTTGGGCCGTCCCTGTCTTCCACAAGCTGCTGTCTGTCCCAGGCTGGTCTCCGGAGCCAGGGTCCAAGCTGCTGCGTRAAGTGGCTCCAGCTTCCATCCGCTCTGTGACCCCGGCCGGCTCGCTGAGCTCCCTCTTCCTGTCTCCCTGGGCCGTCCAGCTGTGGCCTGCCCAGCTGTGGCCCGCCTGTCTCTCGATGACCTCTTCCAGGAACTGGCTGTGGTCCTGCGGCTTGTCACCGGCTCCTCCTCTTCCTCCTCTCCTGCCGCCTTCTCCCTTCCGCTCCTCTAGGTGTGCCCAGGGACGTGGCTGTGGCTTGCTCTCCACACTCTGGGCTGAGTCCCCTGGGAGGTCGACTTGACCTGGGACAGTGTCGTTCACACGCAGACACCTGGGGTGTCCCAGCACCTTCCACTGTCGGCATCGCACTCGGCTCTGACTTGCTCAGGAGCAGGTTCTGCCTGGTGTCAACAACTGAAGAACTTGGAGAACGACGTCACCATGGGTCAAGTGCCTCTGTCTTCCGAATGTCCCATGTGACTGGAAAGTGACCAGGATTCTCTGTGGATCTGTGTTCATATAACAGACCCTAAGCCAGACCTTGGACGTCCGCTCTCCCTCGCCACTTCCTGTCTGCTTGTCCTGCGTCCCCAAGACGGGGCGGAGGGAGACTGCAGTCCACCCTCCTGCGAGTCTCGTTCACTGATCCTCACTGTGTCTGCCTTACGTGGCCTGCAGCCGTGTCACGCGGTGTGCACACGTTCAGAGCTGTCTGCTGTGATGAGTCCTGTGTTATCACAACAGAGTGTCCCTCTGTGTCCCTGGTAATGGCCCTTCCCTGTTCTGAGATCCGCCTGCCTGTGCTTCGTCTGGCGGTGTCGGGGGAGTTGCGTGATCTGTGGCTCTCTCCCTCCCTCTGTGCTTTTAGCTGCTGCGTGTCTGCGTCTGAGCTGGTCTCTGGAGACCGCAGGCCCTGGGCTGCCCTTTGGGTCCCCACCTCTGCTTGGGCGCACTGGTGACCAGTGTGCAGCTGCTGCCAGGCCGGTTCCGCCGACCTCATCTGTGCCTGCTCCTGTTGGCTGCTCTTGTCCTTGGGCGCGTCGTGTTCCTCTGCTGCAGGACTGGTGATGTCGGGGTGTGGGGACGCACGCTGTGTCCTTACCCCGGGTGCAGGACGCCTTGACCTGCCAGTCATGGGTGGGGCCGCCGGGCCTGCCTCAGCCTCAGCTGGCACCGTTTCCCCAGGTCATCATGCCACGGCTCTGTCCCTCGCGGGACGTTGTCGGTGTGCCGTTTCTGTGGCGGTWGACAGGTGGAGGCCCTGCCCCTGGTCACTGGTAAACAGTGGCACGGTGGCGGTTGTTTGGAGTACTTTCAGCYAAGCCCTGGGCTCGGCTGGTCCACGTGTCCTTCCAGCTGACTCAGTGCAGGCGGGAGCTGTGGCTCCTGTGACCCAGGTTCCAGCCTGTGTCCTTGCCTGGTGGGCAGCTGTGCCCTACGTCCTGTGGTCAGTGCTCCTCGCCGTGGCCACGTGGGGTGCTCTTGCCTGGTGCTGCTCCTCGGCTGTGAAGGGCGCGGCTGCTTCTCCCGGGTGCCGGGGCGGGTGCCGAGCTGGTCCTCTGTCCTGCTTCTCCTCCCCTCTGCCGGGCGGCTGGGCCCCCTCACCCCAGCAGTGGGGTGGCCACCCACTTGTTGTGTGCGCAGTAACAGACGGCTCTCAGAAAGGCCCAGAGCGTGCTCCTGCGAGGTCGCTGCCTCAGATCACAGACATGGTCGGTCGGGCGGGCAGCTCTGCCCGGCCCTGGCCTTCTCCTGCGCCCTGCGTGCCCCAGGGGYCCCGCCTCCCCCAGCCGCTGTGTGCCCCGACACGCCTCCTGTGCAGGGCAGCGCCACAGTACGTCCTGCGCTGGTGTCCTGCTTTCTGTTTGCACCTCTGAGTGGGGCTGTTTCTGAGCTGGGGACCCTCCTAGACAGCCCCCCGCCATCGCACAGTCCCTGGAAGAGGCCCAGGAGCCTGCTGGGGCTCACTGTGCTGCTCCCCGCATGGAGACGGGCACCAGGGGAGCCGCCTTCAGGGAAGAAAGGGCCCGTGTTGGCTCAGAACTGGCGTCACTCCAAGGCCTCTGGGGCCCGTCACCTTGRGTCTGTGCAAGGACAGCATCTGGTGGGAGCATGTGGCTGCGGAGGGCTGTCGCCTCCTGGCGGGGAGGAAGCAGACGGGCAGGAGCAGGTGCCGGGGTCTCCGTCCACGCCAGGCCCCTGGCCCCTGGGCCCCACTACAGGACCACGCCTGCCCCCGGCACCCGGCCTGGGGACCTGCCTCCAGCCCACGGCCTTTGGGGGATACCCAGGTCACCTCCTGCAGGACCACTCCTGCTCCTGGCACCCGGCCTGGGGACCTGCCTCCAGCCCACGGCCTTTGGGGGATACCCAGGTCATCTCCTGCAGGACCACTCCTGCTCCTGGCACCCGGCCTGGGGACCCGCCTCCAGCCCACGGCCTTTGGGGGCTGCCCCGAGTGCCCCCTGCAGCCCCCCCCCCAGGAGAGCCGTCCCTGGGAGGAGGCCGTCCCCCACTCTGGGGTCTCTGTCCTGCCCACAGGGGCCGAGAAGCTGATCCACCACCTGCGGAAGCACAGCATTCCCTTCGCCCTGGCCACCAGCTCAGGGACCGCGTCCTTCGAGATGAAGACGGGCAGACACAAGGCCTTCTTCGGCCTGTTTGACCACATCGTGCTGGGGGACGACCCCGAGGTGAAGGGCGGCAAGCCCCACCCCGACATCTTCCTCGCCTGCGCCCGGAGGTTCTCCCCCGCGCCGCCCCCGGAGCAGGTAGGCGGGGCGCGGGTGCGAGGGTCGMGCTGTGGCTGCCCCCGAGCAGAGCCACGTGGCGCCTGCTGAACACCAGGGCTGGGCGCCTGTCCCTGGCCAGCAGCCGGTGAGGGTCACAGCTGCGCCCCAGTCCCCAGCGACAGTGGGCCAGGCCCACAGTGGACACCCCACTGCCTGAAGGGGACAGCGTGTGGGGGTAGGGACTCCCTGACGTGGCAGAGGGCATCCCTGCCCCAACCAGGGCTGTCACCCTCCCTCAACCTGGGCCACTCCCCACAGTCCTGCTCTAACGAGGGCCACCCCACCACCCCCAGTAGTTCTGCTCTACCCAGGGCCACTCCCCGAAGCCCTGCTCTACCCAGGGCCACTCCTGCAGTCCTGCCCTACCCAGGCAGTCCCCCGGCCACCCCAGCCTGTCCCCCACAGTTCCGAGGAGCCCAGCAGGACTCTGCTGCCCCAGCTACTGGCCAAGCCACTTTCTCTGGTGCAGAGGGCTCTGCTCCTGGGGCAGGTGTGTCCATCCTGAGGCTGGACKTGAGATGTTTCCCAGGGGAGGAGGCAGCTGGGCAGGGGCACTGCGGCCCTCCAGGGCCCAGCCTCGTGGCTGCTCGTCCAGCAGGGCCCAGTGGGAATGGCCCTGTGACCCCCTGCCGCGGCCCTCCAGGTCCTTCCCCGGGGACCCCGCAGGGTGTTCAGGGAGGTGTKGGGGGCAGCTCGGTCCAGGTTTGTGGGCGCTGTGTGAGGGCGGAGGGACGCGGGCCTGCCCTGGGCACAGGTGCAGAGTCCCGTGTGGTGGCCAGGCCAGGGTCACAGGGGCACGCACACCAGTGTGTCCACGGGGCTGGGGCTGGGAGGCCCTGGGCTGCACCACATCACTGTCCTGTCTGGTGGCACGTGACTGGTCAGAGGAAAGCAGCCCCTCATGTCCTCAGGGCAGGCCAGCTCCCAGGCTCTCACCCCGGGGCACCGTGTGGGCGGGGGGCACGTCTGTCCTGCAGCTGTCACCCCTGCCCTGCGGGGGCTCTGGGGCCCTCCCGCTGTGGTGTGGTGGGGTGTGGTGGAGTTGGCGGGCTCCTGCTCCTGCTCCTGCTCCTGCCCCCCCCAGAGCCTTGGGCATTGTGTGGGGGCGCGGCCGTGCGGCAGGAGGATCAGGGCCACTCCTGGCCATGTCCTGCAGCCTCCCCCCGGACAAGGAGAGTCGGATTCGGAACTCGGGGTGCCCGGGAATCGTTCCTGGGGGCTCTCCCCCGCCGCGCTCTGCTGCTTTCTGCACCCCCCGTTCCCCATCTCCCTGGAACTTGGGCCCAAGTGGCAAAGCGTTGTCTGCAGGTGTCCATCCTGGCCCTTCTGCCTCCGTGCGCATGTCCATCTCGGTCCTCCCGCCCCGTGCGCATGTCCATCTCGGTCCTCCCGCCCCGTGCGCATGTCCATCTCGGTCCTCCCGCCCCGTGCGCATGTCCGTCCCGTGTCCCCCACCTCTGCCCTTCCCTGGGGGTGAGCTCATCCCCCCTGCGCTCCTGTGCCGACCCCCAGGCCTTTGCTCCTGGGAGGGGCCTAAGGAAATCCCAGGGAAGCTCAGCGGACCCCGTGGACAGTCGGGGGGACGCTCCCAGCTCAGCCCGCTCTGGAGGCTGCGGTCCCAGGTCCCACCCACCCGCAGCCCTCTGCGCCTGGGCCCTGGGGCACTCTGCCGTCCACCACGCCCAGCGTCTCGGCCCCCAGCCGGTCCTGCAGGCCGCGGCTCTCGCCTCTCTCCGCAGGGTTTCCTCTCCTCCTCCATCACTTCTGCTTGCGACCTTTTTGATCCGCGTCTTTTGGGGTCCGCCCCCTTGGTGGGCTTTCTCCTGTCCCTCGCCCAGCTGTCCTCCTGGCAGCAGCCGTCCAGGGGGCTTCCCGCGTCACCTGGCCCTGTCAGCCCTCCACCTGTGAGCCAGGTCACTTTCCCCAGGGCACTCTGAAAGCCCTGTCGTGTGGGAGCACTCCTGTCCCCCTGTACACCCGCGRCCTACCAGTGTGACTGGTCCCTTGTGGTCTCCTGCCCGGCCCCAGCCCCACGGCCACATGCAGTGTCAGTCGGCAGCTGCTTGACAGGTTGCGTCTCTAGAAACTGAATCTGCTACGACGGGGACAGGCCTCTCCCTGGACAGAGCATTGTGGGACCCTCGCCCTGCGGGCCTCTTGCCTCCTTGAGCCTGTGCCCTCCAGGGCCCACACCATGSAGCCTTCGCCCTGGGGCCCTCTCCTGGAGCACCCCCTGGAGCCCTCGGTGGGCAGTTGAGCAGTTTCTGGGTTTGCRGCCCCCCTTCAGCCCTTCCGACAGCACAGAGCCCTGTCCACGCCCTGTCCACGCTGCGGCCCATCTCCTTTTCTCCTCCGGCTTCTCCCTGTGGCTGTGCCCTCAGGCTGCTGTCCAGCAGGGGTGGGGGGCGGACCTGCCCTAGGCCCCTGCCTCATCCCTGCCGGGTTCCAGCTCCTCCCCACCCACCCACTCCGACCCTCACAGGGCTTGTCCTCTGTGGAGCWGTGATGTCCTAGCTCCCCTGCTACCGCCTCTCTGGGGGTCCTTCAGCCTGGTGCAGGCCATGCCCTGGTCGGCCCCGGTACCTCCTGCGTGTGCCTRCAGGGCAGTGGAGGTCCCGCTCTCYRCCTGCAGACCGGCCACAAAGCAGGGAGGGGGCTCTGCTGAGCCCAGGCCTTGGCTGGGACCCCTCACCAGGCAGGGAGTGGGGGTGCACAGGAGGACTGGGGTCCCCAGACCACCATGGCAGCAGGGAGCAGACTGCCCCATGGATCATGGGGAGACAGGTAGACGACACACGGGGTACAGGTAAGCAGTGACAGGTGACAGTACAGAGATGACCGTGGGCAGACGGCAGGTACATGGGTACGACTAGATGGATGGTGGGCAGGTGAGATGTTCTAGCCCCGCTAGTGTGACTGGTCCCTTGTATAGGTATAGGTAGACAGAAGATGGTGGGTAGACAGACACTAACTAGAGAGGTCATATGTGAACACAGATGATGAACAGGCCGATGATGGTGGAGAGTATGGGTGGGTGGGTAGATGGACGACAGAGACACGGTGCACCTGAACAGGTGGGTGACAGCAGGTAGGCAGATGCTGTGAGACCAACAGGTCATGATGGTRGGTGGGCAGGCAGCTGGAGGACAGGTAGACAAAGAGATGATAGACAAGAAGGCTGGTGGACAGGTGGAGTCAGAGATGATGGACAGACAGGTGACAGGTGGATACAGGTACAGATAGATGGGCATGGTAGGTAGATAGGCAGGTACTAATTGGACCACAGATGCACTGAGAGCTGATGGACAGGTGGTGGATACACAGGTGGGACAGAGGGTGGGTGGGCACATGGTGGACAACACGCTGGGTGGGTGGGTAATAGGAGAAATATCTATAACAGGTGACAGAAATGGTGGGGGAGAGGTGGTGGGTAGGAAAGGGGGATGATG